AAAAAAAAAAGTCGGAATTTGCAAGTTGGGCAAAAAAGCGCGTACCTCTGAAGAAGTAACAGGGATTTGTTCTAATTTTGGGATGCTGCTGGCATCTGCTAAACTGCGTCTGGAGGAGATAACGAGAGCAGAATGCCTAGCTGAAGACTTTTGTGGAGGATATAAATTGACTTTCAGTCTGGTGGGTTGTGAAGACTGGAAACGGGGAAAGGCTGCAATAAACGGTGCGGCACCAGCCTCTGCAGGATGGTGGAAGCTAACCCTGCTGCAGCAGCAGCAGGAGCAGCAGCAGCAGGAGCAGCAGCAGCAGGTCTCATTCAGCCAGAATCAGATTTCAAAAGAATTTACGTCGAGCACAACATGGGTAAAAAGTAAACGTGTGTGTGTGTGTGTGTGTGTGTGTGTGTGTGTGTGTGTGTGTGTGTGTGTGTGTGTGTGTGTGTGTGTGTACTCACCTATTTGTGGTTGCAGGGGTCGAGTCATAGCTCCTGTGTGTGTGTGTGCGTGTGTGTGTGTACTCACCTAGTTGTACTCACCTAATTGTAGTTGCAGGGGTCGAGACTCAGCTCCTGGCTCCGCCTCTTCACTGATTGCTACTAGGTCCTCTCTCTCCCTGCTCCATGAGCTTTATCATACCTCGTCTTAAAACTATGTATGATTCCTGCCTCCACTACTTCGCTCGCCAGACTGTTCTACTTCCTGACCACTCTGTGACTGAAGAAATACTTCCTAACATCTCTGTGGCTCATCTGAGTCTTCAACTTCCGAGAGTTACCCCTTGTTTCTGTGTCCCCTCTCTGGAACATCTTGTCTTTGTCCACCCTGTCTATTCCACGCAGTATTTTGTATGTCGTTATCATGTCTCCCCTATCCTTCCTGTCCTCCAGTGTCGTCAGGCTGATTTCCCTCAACCTTTTTTCATAGGACATTCCCCTTAGCTCTCTGTGTGTGTAACGGAGAAAAAGAGAGAGGGGAGAAAGAGATAGATAGATACAGAGAGAGAGAGAGAGAGAGAGAGAGAGAGAGAGAGAGAGAGAGAGAGAGAGAGAGAGAGAGAGAGAGAGAGAGAGAGAGAGAGAGAGAGAGAGAGAAGAGAGGTTAAATAAAAAGCAACCAATACTTCCCTCCAAAAACAAGCGACTGCGTTCAACCCGCTGAGATGATAGAGAGTTCTCTTATATTCTTTCCTCAATAACAATGATTCACCCAGCAGCTGATGGAAGACCAGCGTGCTCTGATAACTGAGATGGATGTAGAGGCGGCGACCGCCTACCAGCACAGCCATGCCTTACAATTAAGACAATGTTATTGCCAGCCATAGCTCACCAAACTCCCTCAAGTTCTCGATACAATGGTATGTTGCGTCCCTGAATGGATAATGGGTGTTCTAGTGGAGGTGTATTTGCCAGGCCGTGTTTCCTATGTGCACCAAACGCCTGTTGTGTGGTGCGTTTAATGTTATCTATATTAAACACGGCTTTGCTGGCTGGCTTGCCACACACGTTCCAGGTCCGGCTCCTGGAACAAGTAGAAGGCAGTTAGAAGGTGACTCATCTCTTGTTTCGACCTGGCTGGAGCAGATCTCTCATTTCAGGACGGAGGATCAAGCCACCTGGAGTTTACCTGGAGAGAGTTCCGGGGGTCAACGCCCCCGCGGCCCGGTCTGTGACCAGGCCTCCTGGTGGATCAGAGCCTGATCAACCAGGCTGTTACTGCTGGCTGCACGCAAACCAACGTACGAGCCACAGCCCGGCTGATCAGGAACCGACTTTAGGTGCTTGTCCAGTGCCAGCTTGAAGACTGCCAGGGTCTGTTGGTAATCCCCCTTATGTATGCTGGGAGGCAGTTGAACAGTCTCGGGCCCCTGACACTTATTGTATGGTCTCTTAACGTGCTAGTGACACCCCTGCTTTTCATTGGGGGGATGTTGCATCGTTTGCCAAGTCTTTTGCTTTCGTAGTGAGTGATTTTCGTGTGCAAGTTCGGTACTAGTCCCTCTAGGATTTTCCAGGTGTATATAATCATGTATCTCTCCCGCCTGCGTTCCAGGGAATACAGGTTCAGGAACCTCAAGCGCTCCCAGTAATTGAGGTGTTTTATCTCCGTTATGCGCGCCGTGAAGGTTCTCTGTACATTTTCTAGGTCAGCAATTTCACCTGCCTTGAAAGGTGCTGTTAGTGTGCAGCAATATTCCAGCCTAGATAGAACAAGTGACCTGAAGAGTGTCATCATGGGCTTGGCATCCCTCGTTTTGAAGGTTCTCATTATCCATCCTGTCATTTTTCTAGCAGATGCGATCGATACAATGTTATGGTCCTTGAAGGTGAGATCCTCCGACATGATCACTCCCAGGTCTTTGACGTTGGTGTTTCGCTCTATTTTGTGGCCAGAATTTGTTTTGTACCACCACTTAACCATAAACCACTTGACCACCAATGTCACAGGTGCATCAGGTGTCCAGTAGCACTGGATACGTCACTCCTGATGCGGACACGTACGTGGCTTTGGCAAGCTAATGACTGATTTCATACGCTTCTCGGCCAGTGCAGTTTGTTATTTGCTAAGAACCATTTGAAACGAGAGGAGAATGAAATTAGTTGTTAACTTGCCACAACCACGTACGTGTCCGCAACAGGAGTGACATGTCCAGTGCTACCGGGCACCTGATGTAATACTGATGGTTAAGTGGTTTAGGGTATCTCGGAATTTTGACGGGCTACGAGGGTGGCGTGTTACAGTACCAATGTATTGAGGCTGTGGCTGACTAGTGTTAATTTAGACAACCTCTGGCTGTCAACAACACCTCACACATGATTAACATATTACTACAGCGCACTGCGTAAAGTGGTGATATATTCCCAAAATAATGAAGACAGTAACGAATTTTTTTTTAGTTCCGGGCGACAAGATCTGCAAGATTGCCCATTGTTATGGCTCGGTCGACTTCAGGTGAGGTGACACTGAAGCTCTCACTGTCATCACTCTGATCGCCAACTCATGATAAAATAGATTATCACCCAATGGTAATATTAAGTTAATTCCTGCGTGGTATGTTCATACGGCCAATGTTAAGCGAGGTGCTTCAGTAAATTTTACAGATTTCACAAAATATTAAACTATATCCTCTACATAATGTACAGTAATAAAAAGCAGAATCTAAGAACACAACATTAACCAAACATATTAGAGAGACATAAATATACTGTTGCCACATATTTGTAAATATATGAGTCACATCGTGAATTAGTGAACTTCCCAGATCCTCTTTCCATCTCGGTGCAGCGATACGAAAAGCAAATGTTGAATACATTATAGACAAGTCCAGTCCAGAGTGATTGGATAAACTACAGCGGTTGAGCAAGATTATCTTTGGAATCTGGCAGTGCATGCACACAAAAAATTACTACCCACAAGGGCACTACGGGACTCGAATCAAGACTTCCAGTCTGGAAGTCCGTCGTGCTAACAAATGTACCATGAATGTTTATAAGTACTGACGCCTATTAAAATCTCAGACTGCGGGAGGCACAACTATGTGTCCCCATTCAACGGTTCATACATTATTCCCCGGTACCTGGGTCTTCTGATAACATATCTCATACACCTCTTCATGTCTACACACACTGAAATTCATTAGAAACCAGGACAATACCGTATAAGGAGCGGTAGCAAGAGAACCAGCAGATGCAATAACAGCAGCAGCATCAGTAGCAACAGAAGCTGCAGCAACGGTAGTAGCATAAATGGCAAGAACAGCAGCAGCTATGGAAACTGAAACAGCAGCAGCAGCTCCAGCAGAACGAACAGCAGCAGAAACAACTGCAGTAGCAACAGTAGTAGCAACAGACGTAGCAACAGAAGCGGCAAATGGAGCAACACTCGAAAAAGCAAGAACCCCAGCACTATTATCAGTAACAGCAACAGTAGAAAGCGGCAGAATCGGCAGAAACAACAGCAGAACAACCACCACCATCACCACCGCCAATATCAGCACCAGTAGCACTTGAACCAGCTGAAATGTCACAAACAGCAGCACCAGAAGCAGCTGTAGCGCTAGGAGTAACACTTGGAACAGTTACAACACTAGGAGTAGCACCAGAAGCAGCTGCAGCAACAGCAGCAACAACAACAACAACAACAACAGCAGCAGCACCAGCAGCAACAGCACTGATCATCACCGTCTCAGCTGCCAGGGGAAATCCAATAGAGGAAGAGGGAGTGTTGCGAGAAGCATCGTCAGCACCCTCCCTCACACACACTACGTCTTGCTAAATTGTGGACGTCGTGTGTAGCGACGACCGAGGCTGTCGTCTCTTCGACCCCAACACGACACATGGCTGCAGTTTATCCCATTGTCTCTCTCTCTCTGATCTGCCGTAATGGCTCATACGATTCACTGCGGGTTGAAGATAATGAAAAATACGGGTCCAAGGTGAAAAAAAATAAGAAAAAGAAAAGGAAGAGAAGGAGAAAAGAAAGGTTACGAAGGGGTGAAGTAGCGTTCCCGGATCTTGTGTTACCTCGAAAGTAACATAAAAATGCTACGAAAGTTTCTGATGATTGAAGTTTATGATTAGAAGTTGATGCTGGGTAAATCCAGGTGGGAACGTGCGTCTGGTGTGGCTGACACGCATGACAGGCTGCAGTGGATTAGCAAGGTTTGCACTGACGGGAATATATGTTGGCACTTTACCCAGTGGTTTGTGATATTTAGAGCCTGCGACACCTAGGTGTGCACCCACTCATGCGTGTAAACACACACACACACACACACACACACACACACACACACACACAACACACACACACACACATACAATGATATATCAAAAAAATATAAAAATTAAGAGTTTCCAAAATAAATTGTCAGACGGCTATGCTTAATGAATATGAAGAATATTTAAGCATTTTGAAAAAAAAAATGCTTCATATTTACATCTTACTGATGATTCTGAAAAAAATTATCCAGAGGAAAAGTGATACTCGAGTTATGGCTAAAAGGTATAATTCAGATATTCTATAAAAATACAAAATATCCGAAATCACATTGTATTTCATGCACCAGGAAAAAAATTGTTTTTAAGAAATGAATGAAAGCGAGTTAGTGTCCAGGAAAATCACAGCCCTGAGGAAGTAACACCACGAACTGAAAGGGGTCATCTCGTCACTTTTCATTGGTAATTACTGAAAAAACGTCCCCTTTTCAAGCCCCGTTTAGTTAGTTATCTGTGGTAATGTAAAGGGCAAGACTTTATTAGACATTTCGTATCCAGAAGCCAGCTTTCTCACGTCTTGGCTTGATAAACCTTACATTCGAGCGAAGCAAATGCTCTGTTACGCGTGCCTCTCTATTTCCATAAGCAATTATTCTGTACTGTTCTGTATTATCACACATTTGGCAATTTAATCTTTTCAATACACCATCAGTACGAACAAACACTCTTGTCCATAATTTTATTTTGTAACATTAACACTGACATTGACCAGATAATGTATTCTATTCTTGAGGGTCCAATTAAAAGGTTGGAAAACATCGATATCTTGGGTGGGTACGATGACAGAGGAAATTATCTTCTATTTTTTTTATTTCACAGTGTTCCATCACTCAGCTGGTTAAGTGTTGCACATGTGTGGCATGTTTGCAGGGGTTGCATGTGTATGATGAGTATATATCAGACAGTAGTTCTGGGATGGGAGTTCGTCACCTATGAGGTCAGGTGTCAGACCATGCCACGGATTGTTACACTGCTGTGGTGCCAATTCGCTGAAATTCAAGGAGCACTGTGGAACAAGCTTTCGTTGAGACAACGTTTCGCTATGTGTTGGGCAAAAATTTGATCATGACTTGATAGAGCTCTACACAGAATCGTGACTAGAAAAAGCTGTAAACGGGATCATGACTTGAAGCTCTGCACAGAATCGTGACCTGATAGAGCTCTACACAAAGCAAAATGGTGTGTCAATAAATGCTCGTTGTGTAACGTGTTATTCGCAATTGCACATTCACTGTTTTTTAACACTCTGTCGTCCCGTCCCCTTCACTCGGCTTCAGTTTAAGAACTGGAGAGCATACAGCTGGTCGAGCACCTGCCGTCTTCTCGGTTTCCACTGTGGGAACCTTGTTTGTCGTGCAGCGGGGTAATGCAGCCCTTCTTGCCGAAGATTCCTTCATGACCCTCTCTCCGCCCTCGCGGAGCCTCGAACTCAGCGAGGAACTGGCGGCCTCTGGCAGGTTCTTCAGCAGATCCACTACTTCCAGAAGCTCCGGGACTAACAGGTTAATGTTGTCCTTCTCCCACTGCTCCTCCCGGAGACCTGCTAGGATATAAGAACGATCTATAAGACCTGTTAGGATACGCGAACAATCTATAACAGTTGTTAGGGTAGAGGAATAATCCATAAGATCTGTTAGGGTAAAGATTAGATGTAATTCGCTCTAGTCACGGTACTGTGATTTATTCTGCTTAGTTATTATTATTATTAATGATTTACCCTCAGGTATCTTAATAAGAAATATGATCAAAATAGTTGATTACGTTATGCATACAATGTTTGAAGCTGCTTCTGGATCTGGAGTACCGAGAGTAGTGACTCATGTTGTGAACATTATAACGACGGAGCTTACATCTGAATCTTGCATGTACGGTCCAGCCAATAAAGCTTGAAACCACGGACATGACTTGCGAACTCTGTATCTACTCACATGACTTGCGAACCCTGTATCTACTCACATGACTTATGAAGCTTGCGTCCAATGAACTGACTTGGAAATCTTTCAGACCAGAAGCTTACCTTACGATCTAAGAGGCCACAGACCTGATAATGCTGAGGAGAGTGACCCGGCAGACGACCCGTCTCCCTCGTAGGCGTAGGCTCTGAGGTCGTCCTTGGCTGGGAGTGGGTCCGGGCTCACCACCCCTGTGCCTGTCACGGTTCCCACGCTGGCTGGCAGGACTACGGACAAAGATATGCCAGAACTTATGGACACGACCGTCCCTACCGGAACAGCGGGGCCGACTGGAGCATCGACTGTCTGTGGGTTATCTTCAGTAACTGGAAAGAATGTACGATAAGCAATTACAGTTCTTCAGCATGCACTAACATTTCTGTAGTTCAGTAAGTAAAGCGTACAAAAAACTGTATCATCAGAAGGATAAAATGAAAATATACAATAATGATACAGATAAAACGATGATAATTATAACAACCAGCAATTCTGTTACTTATAAGATCGTAGTCTCCAGAAAGACAGCTAAGGAATAAACGATGGGTTACCCGGCCTTGTTAAACAGCTACCGTATATTTCGGTATATTAGGCGCATGATCATATAAGACAATGTTTCCAAGCAGTTGTAACGTAACCCTTGGACATATAAGGCGCAGGCTGATTTTCCAAGACTCATGAAATCGTAATGACACGATTGGGAGGGGATTGAACTCGTGGCACTTATAAAAACGTGCATTTGTGGTCACAGTAGGACCTAAGCTAACCTCCTTATGGTGTATAAATATACCTAATTGGATGAATCTTATTGTAGCCAGGTGGCCCAGTGGCTTACGCGCTGGCCTGGAGTTTTACAACTCACTCTCCGAGAGTTCAATCCCCACCCGTACCATGGTTTATTTTCCAAGATTTTGTGGGGAAAAAGCTCGCCTTATATGCCGAGAAATACGGTAATAAGAGCTGTGTTGTAGCGATGATGATGATGATGATGATACCAGTAGCATGTGTACCTGTGTTGTTGAAGTGAGAGTGTGGTGGTCCCAGCTTCATGCCCTGCAGGAGTGACTGGTGGCCCTCGCTTTCCTGCAGTTCCGTCATTCCTCTTTCCTCGTCAGCATCTTTTACTTTCAAGAGAGTGACGCCCTGGCCTCCTTCCCGGCCCTGTTCCCCAGCCTCAGCCTGGCCTCCTGCCCGGCCCTGTTCCCCAGCCTCAGCCTGGCCTCTTGATTCGTTCTGGCCTTCTTGTGGTGCCCGGGAGGACCACTGTTGACGCAGCCGCAGGGAGATCACTACGCCAACTACGACTGGAACATTAATAATGGATAATATCTTTATTTCTACAAGTACATGTACAAGGTATACAGTCCTAGCTGACATCAGTGACATACTGCTATATAGAAAGCCACTTTGTTATGCAGAACATTTTGGGCAAATTAGGTCAGTTTTGTCCCAGGATGCGACCCACATCAGTCGACTAACACCCAGGTACCCATTTTACTGTGGGGTGAACATAGACAACCGGCGTAAAGAAACACGCCCAATGTACTTACCCTCGCCGGGAATCAAACCCGGACACCCCGCCGTGATTTATGAATCACTAACAAGGAGACTTTTAGGATAAAGACACACGAGCAGTGTAGTATGATCCATTTATTTACATCGTTTCGCCAACACAGTGGGATTTGTAAATCATTTACATCACGTTATGCTGAATCTGTGTTTTTATCAGAGGACAGTACCACATACTGCCAGTAACTTAGATATTGCTGATACTTCTGTTATTAATATTACGATGAGAGCGAAAAATGTTACTATAGTGTCAATGGATAAATCCGTTTTAGATGAAGGGATTAAAATGACAATGAAAGGCACAAGTTACAGAATTATATTTAAATTCAGGAATGGATATGTTCCTCAAAATAAAGGAGAATCAAACAGGGGCGTTCCAGGGCTTTGTAGCTTACATGAGTGGTAGTATACTGACCCAGGAGTAGTAGAGAGAGTGTCAGCGCTGCGATGGCCACGGGAGCTGTGAGTGGGTGGCCCGGGGTGGCCGGGTGGGTCCACTGGCAGTGATCCCCAGCATGGCCAGGGCCACACACACACTGGAATCCTGGATGCAGGTTGTAGCAGGAGCCTCCGTGGAGACAGGGCTGCCACACACACTCGTCCAGGTCCTCACACACTCCCCCCACCACCTGCTGTCCTCTCCCACACCTGTAGAGGAACATAGCACTGTGCCACACCTGTGAAAGTACACAGTTTTGTGCCCTACACTTGTAGTGGAACTGCACTGTCGCACACCTGTACAGGAACACACAGATTTGGGTCTCTTTTAACCCACACTCCAAAAATATTTTACGACAGCTACTTAACATATTTTGTGTTGAGTAGCAGCTCCTGGTACCGTGAAGACTATGCAGTCCGATGGTAGTGGATTTAAACACAGGAAATATATATTATTTATGGCCCTGGACGTATTCAGATTAAATGTTGCAACCCCTGAATGGGTTGCAATGTATATTATGTATATATATTATATGTATATTACCTTTTCATATAATTTTATATTGCTTATATTTGCAATAATAGCTAAATCGTGAATATATTGCTTTATATTATTATTTGACTTCGTTAAATTTTGTTAGGTAGGATGTAACATATTGTTATGTACTCATAGTTCAAGTCTTGATTGTCTAACTACTGTAATTATCGCTTGTGGCTCGTTTCCCTGCCGGCTTCTCGTTGTTGCTGGGCAGTAACTGTCCACGGAGCTATCACGTGATAGAGGGGGGGTGTTCTCACCTCGCCTGAAGTATTCGGTCTGGTCTAGACTCGCTGGGTGGTTGGACGTATTCCAGACAAGAAGTGCCTAAATCTTCCTTATTGGCACTTGTTGGAAGATCGTCTCTAGCTTTCTTGTAGGTTCTGTGAGACTCTGTTCACAGAACATTGTATAGACTTAGTGATTTTCGACGTTGTACTGAGGTTGTGTGTCGCATAGACACTCTGAGTAACTCAGGTCCTGAGCTGTAGCTTCTGACCTAACTTGTACTGGTATCTGTGTATTATCACAGTCGGTGATTTTCTTATGCTGAACTTAGATTCAGTAGTACGAGAGTTTTGTGACTTTTGTGGAGGATCTGCTGATGGTCCCTACTTAGTGTCGTTATATTATCTCCTTGTTCCTGATTGTGTCGCAGTTGCTTGTTATATTGCTATTGGGCTTAGCATTCTTTTTATTGTTCAAGCAGACTGTTCTGATTGCCAGTCGGTCAAGAACTTAGTTGATGAGAAGACTTTGTCAATCACTTGTTTAAGTCTAGTCGAGTCGTGAGACATAGCGAACTACTTAGAGCACTTACACACATACACACAAACTTATTTGTATATTGTATTATTAAATGTTAATGTACCAGACGGTACTTAAGACATAAATATGTGATATGTGCTTTCAGCACAATAATACTGTACACGAGAGAAGTGATTAATATTATTTTGATTACTGTGATAAATTTAATTTAATTTGATATACGCCTAGACAACTTAATGATTAATAAATTTATTAAATTTTAATTTCTCTAGTTAGTAGCCTACCAGTTGTAATCCTGAAGCACTATTGAATCATACTGAATTCTAATGGATAATTGGACAAGGATACTGACTACTTGTTACGAAAACCCAGTAACAGGCTGGATGCTAGAAGGGCAGTCCTTTCTAGTATTACCTGGAGATCTCTAAGCTTTTAGAATCGCGTTTTTTGTAACATTGAATAATATATCTTTATGCTTCTTTGAATTTGTAAACAAGATTCTCGTGTAGATGGCGCTGCTGAAGGTACTGACGCAGGTCTGGTGGAGTATACTCACCTGCAGGTGGCACTGCCCCAGGTGGAGACGCAGGAGAGTGGGGCGTCACAGGTGGTGTTGAGGCAGGCGTCAGGGGCCGAGCAGCCCGGCTCCAGACCCTGCCAGCTGGTCGCCTGACTCCACCTGCTGCCATTCAGGCCAGGTGGCAACGGCAGCTGGTGACCTGACACTCGCACGTCGTCCAAACAACCTGACGTGAAACAGAGAACAACGAAAGATTGATTTTAGGAGTGTAAAGTACTGATAGGAGGGGAGGGGAGGGGAGGGGAGGGGAGGGGAGGGGAGGGGAGGGGAGCAGCCTTCACAGTTTCATAAAAAAATAACCCGGGGAACTTTTTATATATTTAAATAAATTTATAAAGTATATTTAAAAAAAAATCGTGCTCTAATTTTTTTACAATAGATTTTTGTAATCAAGGTTCAGATCTGAATGTCTCCCATAAAGTTCAAGACTCGACATGTTAACTATTCTTACGCTGGTGACAAGTGCTGTTGGAAATCAGGTGAATCGGGAATTGTAGGCCGATCAGGGAACGGGGTGGGACTTGAACTCGTGGCAAGAGATTCCCAAACCTTACAGGCCAACGAGTTAACGCACTGGCTTGTGAGTTTCATGACTCACTTGCCATGGGTTCAAACCCCATCCGTTCCGTGGTTTGTTTACAATCGTGTTATTATGATCTCGTGAGTTACTGTAGGCTGTAATAATGCTTCCAATATGTAGATCAATTAAGTCTCAATGTCTCATAAATCTCGACAATTTTCCCACCTCTTATAATATTAATTGACAACAAAAGTCTGAGTGGTCAGAAAGAGGGACAGAGGATCGAGCCTCCACCACTCATTCGCTAAATTACATAGGGTTTTAGATCCTGATGTAGTAAGACACAGTGATGTTATATGTGGGTACTTACTGTCTGTGAGGTCATCCAAGACGTTAAACAAGCTGACTCCCATTGAGTCGGGGAAGCCTCCCACCGTCACCCCGTCATCCAGATGCACTGCAGGTTCCTGTCCACCTCCGACAGCGTCAGACTGTCTCAGTGACACTAGTGACTCGTTACGTCGCCATCCGTCACCGTCGTCAACGCTCACTACCATATTGGCACCGTGACGCTCCGCCCTGACGGTGTGCCAGGCACCGTCACCCACCGGCCGCCCCTCCACGCAGGCCGCACGTGCCGCCCACCCTGCCCCTGACACTGTGGCACACACCACACCTCCTCGCAGCTGTGTGGAGGACAACAGTAGCTCACAAACACAGGATCAAGAGCATCACGATAAAAGATTTACATAAACCTGGGAAAATGCGTGAAGAGAGACGTACGTGTATTGTGAAAGCCGCAGACTGTCTGGGAGACGCCATGTGCAGCAGAAGGCCCTGACGAAGACCTCGCGTCCTCAGGCGCAGCTGCACTGACATCACCTGCGGCGCCGGCGTGAAAGACAACGCAAACTTCACGAAAGACGAAGACCCGAAAGTGGCGGGGATGGTGGGAGTGTTGCACCCTGGACCCGCCCACCCTGGGTCACACTCACACTCCGGGTGTCCCAGGCCGCCCACGCACCGCCCACGGTGTCCACAGCCACTCACACACCCCTCATCCTGCGGGTAGCAGCCGGGGGCAGTGTTTCTGCTGTCGGGTAGCTGCCCCAGGTCCACCAGCTGGAAGCAAGCTACGGGATAGTCAGTTGCAGCATCCTCCACCCTACCACAGACTACATAACCTACCACCAAGAAGTTGCAGCTTATCGGACCTTTCCTCACCTGACTGTTGAACGTGAGGTGTGAGACGCATCCGTCTAGAGGGCGTGGTGTGGGCGCCTCTCTCCACCCATGGTGGGCGGGGCTAGGGGGCGTATGGGCCAGCCCACCCACTTGCACGGGATCTGACCCAAAATACATCCACACCTGATCAGGGTTCGTCCAAGACCCTCGAGCAAGACAGTGAGGGTCGTCCACTAAGTTGTGGTCGTTTCTCTGGCTGCCACACAGATCCAGCATCAATGTCGCTCCCTGCAGTGGGTAAACAGTTGGTAAACAATCAGAATTATCCACCTACACTCTCATCCTGGCTGACAGTGTAGACAGCTGTCAGACGTATCGTTATTGCAACATTTTTTTTTATCAGATTCTTCGACCATTGCTGAGAGAAATGACGAATAAATTATATTAGTAAGAAATAACAAAAAGGAACAATACCGTGACTGGAACAATACATAAATAACCCATACATAGATGACTGAAAATTATGACATTTCGTTCAGACTTGGACCATCAGTCTATATGCTGGTTATTTGGTGTATTATATTATTAAGGCTAGAAATCGTTAAAATATATATATCGGAGAATATTAGCTAAGCCACAGACATGGCGAGGGTGATCTGTGAGTCTGGGTGATGGTGGAGCTCACATCTTCAGAGCCACAGACATGGCGAGGGTGATCTGTGAGTCTGGGTGATGGTGGAGCTCACACCTTCAGAGCCACAGACATGGCGAGGGTGATCTGCGAGTCTGGGTGATGGTGGAGCTCACACCTTCAGAGCCACAAACATGGCGAGGGTGATCTGTGAGTCTGGGTGATGGTGGAGCTCACACCTTCAGAGCCACAAACATGGCGAGGGTGATCTGTGAGTCTGGGTGATGGTGGAGCTCACACCTTCAGAGCCACAAACATGGCGAGGGTGATCTGTGAGTCTGGGTGATGGTGGAGCTCACACCTTCAGAGCCACAAACATGGCGAGGGTGATCTGTGAGTCTGGGTGATGGTGGAGCTCACACCTTCAGAGCCACAAACATGGCGAGGGTGATCTGTGAGTCTGGGTGATGGTGGAGCTCACACCTTCAGAGCCACAAACATGGCGAGGGTGATCTGTGAGTCTGGGTGATGGTGGAGCTCACACCTTCAGAGCCACAGACATGGCGAGGGTGATCTGCGAGTCTGGGTGATGGTGGAGCTCACACCTTCAGAGCCACAAACATGGCGAGGGTGATCTGTGAGTCTGGGTGATGGTGGAGCTCACACCTTCAGAGCCACAAACATGGCGAGGGTGATCTGCGAGTCTGGATGATGGTGGAGCTCACACCTTCAGAGCCACAAACATGGCGAGGGTGATCTGTGAGTCTGGGTGATGGTGGAGCTCACACCTTCAGAGCCACAGACATGGCGAGGTGATTCTGCGAGTCTGGATGATGGTGGAGCTCACACCTTCAGAGCCACAGACATGGCGAGGGTGATCTGCGAGTCTGGATGATGGTGGAGCTCACATCTTCAGAGCCACAGACATGGCGAGGGTGATCTGCGAGTCTGGGTGATGGTGGAGCTCACACCTTCAGAGCCACAGACATGGCGAGGGTGATCTGCGAGTCTGGGTGATGGTGGAGCTCACACCTTCAGAGCCACAAACATGGCGAGGGTGATCTGCGAGTCTGGATGATGGTGGAGCTCACACCTTCAGAGCCACAGACATGGCGAGGGTGATCTGCGAGTCTGGGTGATGGTGGAGCTCACACCTTCAGAGCCACAAACATGGCGAGGGTGATCTGTGAGTCTGGGTGATGGTGGAGCTCACACCTTCAGAGCCACAAACATGGCGAGGGTGATCTGCGAGTCTGGGTGATGGTGGAGCTCACACCTTCAGAGCCACAGACATGGCGAGGGTGATCTACGAGTCTGGGTGATGGTGGAGCTCACACCTTCAGAGCCACAGACATGGCGAGGGTGATCTGCGAGTCTGGGTGATGACAAAGCTCACACCCCCAGAGGTACACGATATTGCACCTTACGGAAAACTTAAATGTTAGATTTTAAATTTTTTACACTTTTAAATACAAGAGGAAAGTAAAAGAACACAAGAGCTATCAAGAGTTTAGTGCAGAGTTCAGACGCAAAGTTTTTCTCCAATACTCAGTGAAAATTGGAATCTATTGTGGAAGTTGTCGACTGAATAATCCTCGAGAACTCTCGGTCCAACACACGAAGCTTTGGTTGTTATTATATTATTAAAGTCAAAGGAGAAGTGCTCAATGCGCAAGGGGTTTACACAGCCTCTAAGGGAATGGGAGGCAATCAAGTTTAACTCTAGAGTAGAGAAAAGAAGTCAAGATCTGAATATCTCAGCTCAATATCTGGATATCTCAGCTCAATAACCGGATGTATCAACTCAGTAACTGGATATCTCAGCTCAATATCTGGATATCTCAGCTCAATAACGATGTATCAGCTCATATCTGGATATCTCAGCTCAATATCTGGATATCTCAGCTCAATAACCGGATGTATCAACTCAGTATCTGGATATCTCAGCTCAATATCTGGATATCTCAGCTCAATAACCGGATGTATCAACTCAGTATCTGGATATCTCAGCTCAATATCTGGATATCTCAGCTCAATAACCGGATGTATCAACTCAGTATCTGGATATCTCAGCTCAATATCTGGATATCTCAGCTCAATAACCGGATTATCAACTCATATCTGGATATCTCAGCTCAATACTCGGATATATCAACTCAATATCTGGATATCTCAGCTCAATATCTGGATATCTCAGCTCAATATCTGGATATCTCAGCTCAATATCTGGATATCTCAGCTCAGTATCCGGATATATCAACTCAATATCTGGATATCTCAGCTCAATATCTGGATATCTTTGGTCAATATCTCACCGCCTCTTCAGAGTCAAGCACAAATACTCCACACTAAAGGTTCGGCATCTGGTATAAAATCTATAACCTCTTGACTGCAGTGCTGAATTGTTAAATTGTTGAGGTGGATGGTCAGCCAGTTACCGTTTACTTACGTGAGAGTGGAGGTGGAGGTGGATGGTGTGCCAGTCGCCATCGTTGACTGTGCTGTTGACCTCCAGCTTGAGCGCCTCTGCACCTCCCTCCAACAGCAGCTGAGGTCGCCCACGCCACACCTGCAGAGCCAGCATGGGCGTGGGCGGGTCGTCCGGGCGTCGCAGGATGGGGGCCATTGGACCAGAGTAGAGGAGGAGGGCGTGTGGGCGGCGTGTGAGGAGCCTCAAGGATATGGTGGTGGGGAAGCAGGGCGGCAGTGGGCGGACCCACGCCCACCCATCACCCCTGAAAGTCCTGGCCAATACCTTACACCGCGCCCCCCACGACCCTCCGGGACACACACACCTGTTGTAAATACACTTGCAAAACACCAGCTGTAAACACCAGTTTATATAATCTGCTACAACCAGTGTATGAATTACGATGTTATGTGTACCAACATTAATAAACACAATAATGCTAACATTCACTCTAGCACACTAAAATCTAGATTGCAACTTTAAGGCAGACGTAGCAGGAATAAATTACGTTGCAGATAGACGAAAAATGAAGGTCTTGATGAGAGTTTGGAGCTAGCCTGATATTGTCCCACTGGGAATGAGATTATTTATAATCTAATGATTATAATTTTAACCATATAATTTTTAAAGGGTTGAACGGGTAAGCCAGTGGAAGGCCTCGGTCAGATGATCAAAAGCTCCAGATGCGGGTCATCGTAAGACTTAGACCCGCGTCAGGAAACACTTGTCTGTTTCCTGACATACCTGAGGACGCGAGCAACGCTACACCAGTTAGGAATAAGGGGAAGGTTTCTGTATTTGTGGCTTGCTAACTGTGAGTAACTTGCTGTTAGTTGTGCTGTCTGAGTGGTTAGTTTACTGTGCACCCTTTCCTCATCCTGGCTGGTTGGTTAATAGGGTTTAAATCCTGTCGACTACACTAGGGTCATTGAGGCTGTTCGTAATCTTTTAACCACCAGACAAGAACGTTTTAATCCCTTCAAGAGGAATTGTACTGAACTCTAAGGTATATATATACCTTGAGAGAAGTACACCTCTCAGTGTTTACATCCTTCGCTTATCTTGTGTGTGGCAGTGTAAAAAAAAAACAGAATTACAGAGGCCACAGTGAAGTAATCAGACACCGCTTGGTATTTGCACCACGAAAGATGATATAACCGAGGCATCCTTGGGGTGACTTCGACTCTTTTTAGGGGGTTATCCTAGGTAATTCACTTATATATTACTACGTATACGATAACTGTACTTATGTGTACCTGTACCTAGGTAAACTTACTTACCTGTGGTCGGTGGGGAAGCCAGAGCAGCGACCACCGTTCAGGCAGGACGAGGGAGTACAGGCGTCCGGTTCCTGGTGAAGGCAGGAGGGGAGAGACGCAAGACGCGGCGTCACCAGCGACGTCGAATTGATGTCCACCACCTGTGAATCATTATACCCACGATCTGAGACTCATTATACCAACTATCTGAGAATCATTATACCCACTATCTGAGATTCATACCCACCACCTATGAATCATTAATAACTTGAGGGGGAGAGAGAGAGGATGCCTCAGACAATAGCATCCTGGGGGAGGGGGGGCAGGGTGCCAAAAAGACCGCCACGGTTAATACCCTTTACCAGGCCTGGAGAGGGGTAATTACCCTTTTCCACTCCTGGTAAAGGGGTATTTACCCTTTCTCAGGCCTGGTAAAGGGTTAATTAATGTACTTAATGAAACCTAATGATGGGCGAAACGTAGCACAAGTAATGGATTTCACTGCATTTTTGTCTGTATTTTCAACCATGGGGTGGACACGCACTCATTTCATGTATCAAGACCCTTCATCTGCATCAAGGTACATCATCTGCATCAAGGTACATCATCTGCATCAAGGTACATCATATGCATCAAGGTACATCATCTACATCAAGGTACATCTGCATCAAGGTACATCATCTGCATCAAGGTACATCATCTGCATCAAGGTACATCATATGCATCAAGGTACAACATCTACATCAAGGTACATCATCTGCATCAAGGTACATCATCTGCATCAAGGTACATCATCTGCATCAAGGTACATCATCTGCATCAAGGTACATCATCTACATCAAGGTACATCATCTGCATCAAGGTACATCATCTACATCAAGGTACATCATCTGCATCAAGGTACATCGTCTGCATCAAGATACATCATCTACATCAAGGTACATCATCTGCATCAAGGTACATCATCTACATCAAGGTACATCATCTGCATCAAGGTACATCGTCTGCATCAAGGTACATCATCTACATAAAGTTACATCATCTGCATCAAGGTACATCATCTGCATCAAGGTACATCATCTGCATCAAGGTACATCATCTGCATTAAGGTACACCATGTGCATTAAGGTACATCATCTGCATCAAGGTACATCATCTGCATCAAGGTACATCGTCTGCATCAAGGTACATCATCTACATAAAGTTACATCATCTGCATCAAGGTACATCATCTGCATCAAGGTACATCATCTGCATCAAGGTACATCATCTGCATCAAGGTACATCATCTGCATTAAGGTACATCATGTGCATTAAGGTACATCATCTGCATCAAGGTACATCATCTGCATCAAGGTACATCTGCATCAAGGTACATCATCTGCATCAAGGTACATCTGCATCAAGGTACATCATCTGCATTAAGGTACATCATCTGCATCAAGGTACATCATCTGCATCAAGGTACATCATCTACATCAAGGTACATCATCTGCATCAAGGTACATCTGCATCAAGGTACATCATCTGCTTCAAGGTACATCATCTACATCAAGGTACATCATCTACATCAAGGTACATCATCTGCATCAAGGTACATCATCTGCATCAAGGTACATTATCTGCATCAAGGTACATCATCTGCATCAAGGTACATCATCTGCATCAAGGTACATCATCTGCATCAAGGTACATCATCTGCATTAAGGTACATCATGTGCATTAAGGTACATCATCTGCATCAAGGTACATCATCTGCATCAAGGTACATCATCTGCATCAAGGTACATCATCTGCATCAAGGTACATCATATGCATCAAGGTACAACATCTACATCAAGGTACATCATCTGCATCAAGGTACATCATCTGCATCAAGGTACATCATCTGCATCAAGGTACATCATCTGCATCAAGGTACATCATCTGCATCAAGGTACATCATCTGCATCAAAATACATCATGTGCATTAAGGTACATCATGTGCATTAAGGTACATCATCTGCATCAAGGTACATCATCGCTAAGGTACATCATCTGCATCAAGGTACATCATCTGCATCAAGGTACATCATCTGCATCAAGGTACATCATATGCATCAAGGTACAACATCTACATCAAGGTACATCATCTGCATCAAGGTACATCATCTGCATCAAGGTACATCATCTGCATCAAGGTACATCATCTGCATCAAGGTACATCATCTGCATCAAGGTACATCATCTGCATCAAAATACATCATGTGCATTAAGGTACATCATGTGCATTAAGGTACATCATCTGCATCAAGGTACATCATCTGCATCAAGGTACATCATCTGCATCAAGGTACATCATCTGCATCAAGGTACATCATCTGCATCAAGGTACATCATCTGCATCAAGGTACATCCATCTGCATCAAGGTACATCATCCTTGAAGGGAAAATTACTGAGTACATCAGTCGATCAAGGTAATATCTGATAAATTGCATAATAAAAATAATTAATTCAGGTATTCATTGATCATAGTTTCATCATTCATCAAGTACATTCACTGCATCAAGGTTTCAAACCTAGAGTTGAAGGTACTAGTCTGTTGTTTATCTGCATCAATTACACGCATCCCAGGATCAACTCATCATCAGGTCACTCTGCATCCAAAGGGAGATGCATCCACATCAAGGTACAACACCATGGTCACCTCAAGGTGAATCCCACATAGGTACATCATCTGCACCAAGGTACACTCATGCATCAACGTCACATCATTGCATACTAACACCTTGAGGTACTGATGCAGCCCCAATAATCAAGGCATATAACACCAAGGTATAGTTATGCATAACCCACATTTAGGATACTAAACCCAGGGACAGGAGAAAATCCCACTTGTCTGGTTACTAACACCAGGTACCCAGGATGCAACCCACATCAGGTTACTAACACCCAGGTACCCAGGATGCAACCCACATCAGGCTACTAACACCCAGGTACCCAGGATGCAGCCCACATCAGGTTACTAACACCCAGGTACCCAGGATGCAACCCACATCAGGTACTAACACCCAGGTACCAGGATGCAACCCACATCAGGCTACTAACACGCAGGTACCCAGGATGCAACCCACATCAGGCTACTACACCCAGGTACCCAGGATGCAACCCACATCAGGTTACTAACACCCAGGTACCCAGGATGCAACCCACATCAGGCTACTAACACCCAGGTACCCAGGATGCAACCCACATCAGGCTACTAACACCCAGGTACCCAGGATGCAACCCACATCAGGCTACTAACACCCAGGTACCAGGATGCAACCCACATCAGGCTACTAACACCCAGGTACCCCGGATACAACCCACATCAGGCTACTAACACGCAGGTACCCAGGATGCAACCCACATCAGGTTACTAACACCCAGGTACCCAGGATGCAACCCACATCAGGCTACTAACACCAGGTACCCAGGATGCAACCCACATCAGGCTACTAACACCCAGGTACCCAGGATGCAACCCACATCAGGCTACTAACACCAGGTACCCAGGATGCAACCCACATCAGGCTACTAACACCCAGGTACCCAGGATGCAACCCACATCAGGTTACTAACACCCAGGTACCAGGATGCAACCCACATCAGGCTACTAACACTCAGGTACCACAGGATGCAACCCACATCAGGTACTAACACCCAGGTACCCCGGATGCAACCCACATCAGGCTACTAACACCCAGGTACCCAGGATGCAACCCACATCAGGTTACTAACACCCAGGTACCCAGGATGCAACCCACATCAGGCTACTAACACCCAGGTACCCAGGATGCAACCCACATCAGGCTACTAACACCCAGGTACCCAGGATGCAACCCACATCAGGCTACTAACACCCAGGTACCCAGGATGCAACCCACATCAGGCTACTAACACCCAGGTACCCAGGATGCAGCCCACATCAGGCTACTAACACCCAGGTACCCAGGATGCAACCCACATCAGGCTACTAACACCCAGGTACACAGGATGAAACCCACATCAGGCTACTAACACTCAGGTACCCAGGATGCAACCCACATCAGGCTACTAACCACCCAGGTACCCAGGATGCAACCCACATCAGGCTACTAACACCCAGGTACCCAGGATGCAACCCACATCAGGCTACTAACACTCAGGTACACAGGATGCAACCCACATCAGGCTACTAACACCCAGGTACCCAGGATGCAACCCACATCAGGCTACTAACACCCAGGTACCCAGGATGCAACCCACATCAGGTTACTAAACCACCAGGTACACAGGATGCAACCCACATCAGGCTACTAACACCCAGGTACCCAGGATGCAACCCACATCAGGCTACTAACACCCAGGTACCCAGGATGCAGCCCACATCAGGTTACTAACACCCAGGTACCCAGGATGCAACCCACATCAGGCTACTAACACCCAGGTACCCAGGATGCAACCCACATCAGGCTACTAACACCCAGGTACCCAGGATGCAACCCACATCAGGCTACTAACACCCAGGTACCCAGGATGCAGCCCACATCAGGCTACTAACACCCAGGTACCCAGGATGCAACCCACATCAGGCTACTAACACCCAGGTACCCAGGATGCAACCCACATCAGGCTACTAACACCCAGGTACACAGGATGAAACCCACATCAGGCTACTAACACTCAGGTACCCAGGATGCAACCCACATCAGGCTACTAACACCCAGGTACCCAGGATGCAACCCACATCAGGTTACTAACACCCAGGTACCCAGGATGCAACCCACATCAGGCTACTAACACCCAGGTACCCAGGATGCAACCCACATCAGGCTACTAACACCCAGGTACCCAGGATGCAACCCACATCAGGTTACTAACACCCAGGTACCCAGGATGCAACCACATCAGGCTAACCCTAAAAACACTACCCAGGTACCCAGGATGCAACCCACATCAGGCTACTAACACCCAGGTACCCAGGATGCAACCCACATCAGGCTACTAACACCCAGGTACCCAGGATGCAACCCAATCAGGCTACCAACACCCAGGTACCAGGATGCAACCCACATCAGGCTACTAACACCCAGGTACCCAGGATGCAACCACATCAGGCTACTAACACCCAGGTACCCAGGATGCAACCCACATCAG